ACCCTGTTTAATAGAAATACTTCTCACTTTAAATTAAAAATATTCCCATTTTTTACAATAAGTGTTTAGTTCTGTATCATTTTCAATTTCCATTAATGTATTTCTTACTTCATTTACAAACTCTTCCACCAATAATAAATCTGAATTAAATTTCCAATAGCTCTTATAGTGGTTGATATTAACATTTGGTTTGAGAGTTATTCCAACTAAACAATGGTCAGTTAAAGGTGCTGCAGCTATTTCAACCTTAGTGACAAATTCCAGTATTTCAGGGGATAATAACTGTTGCATTCTTGATTTTGCACCACCATTAGGTTTTATCCATGTATACTGGCATTCATTGGGATTTTTTTGTCGCCAGATATCAGTGAGAGAGTGAGTATCTGTAAAAACCTTAAGAACTGTGTTATACTGGTGGTCATTATAAAATGACGGGGATCTGTCTAACCATTCATCCGGTGCAATGTTAAAATCCCCTCCAAACATTGTAAAACTAATATTATAAGAAAGTTTGAAATCTATGATTATGTCTGATATATCATCAAACAGCCTTTTGTTCTGATTTAAATTGTTATACCCGTATATATTCGCAACAAGACATAATGATCCCTCCAAGTTAGCAATAATTACAACCCAATGTCCATCTTTGTCAGCTTTATAAGTTATTACTTCTCCAGGAAATCGTTGAAAACATATAGCCACACCCCCAGATCGATTTGTCCCATGTGAAAAATAAATCTTCTCTCCCCACTGGTTCTTCCAAAAAGTCTCATCCTCTTCACAGGAGTGTGTCTCTTGTAAGAAAACAGCATGAGCTTTAAAACCTTTGCAGAAAAGAAAAGTAGCCTTGCGTTTTACATTGTCTTTCAGACCTCTTGCATTTAAAGAAATAATAGATAGTTCAGATCTTAAATTAAACATAAAAAGGTATAAATAAAAATAAACTTACCCCAACCGAGGTAAGAGACCAGTTCAGTTTATAGTAACAATACAGGTAATCTGAGTACCCTTAAACTGTGAACATCAAAACAGTTCCTCTATTTTCAAATTAACTTTCCTTTATATGTTGAGCATATTTAAATTTTGGTGATTAGATTCGTTTGCCGTTTATGTATCCGTAAGGGCCACGAAAGAATGCCTTTTTTCCTGCTTTTCTTGCCTCGTCGATCTTCGGCCACAGCACCTCCCTTGCCTGTTTAACAGCCTCCTACAAATCTTCAGTGAAGAAAACCCTGGCTTCCTTGCAGACAGCTGAGTCCTTCGTAAGATCCCAGATGTCATCCCTGTCCTTTCTTTTCACAAACCGGATGATGACTGATCGCGTCCACTTCTCTTCTTTCTTCCCGACACGGTGAACCACATCCACGATGTCATCCATTCTCCCCGCCATGCGCGGTGCCACTTTTTTCAGTAGGTCGATAATATCATCACGTATGTTTTCGTTCATCTTTTCTTTCATTCCCTTGATTCTTAAATTTCCAACGACGGCTGTGGGCCTCTTGATGAGTGACTTTCTTCTTCAAATCACGGTTTTCTTTTTCCAGCGACACAACTTTTTCTTCCAAAACTGCCACATTTGTCTTGCATTCTTTTATCTCGGCAGCATTAAACTCGAGTGTTTTAGCTAGGCTGCAGATCATGGTACTATTCTCTCTGATTTTGGACTTCACGTCTTCCAAACCACTTTCTTGTTTATCAAAACGGGAGTTCAGACGAGTTATAGCCATCATTATAGACTCAAATGAAGCCTCTTGATTGGGTTTTACCCTCTTTTCCATCGGAGCTCTTTTCTCCGGAGTGTTCAGCGGAGAGTCCTCAAGCTGCCGCTTGTCCGCACCTGCACAAGTGGTTTCCATGGCGGCGTAGTCATGGAACAGAGGCCCGCCTTTTGCTTTCACCATCCTCCCGTCCTTGGTAGATTCATTGTTTGAGGTCATTTTCGTTCTATTTTCCTTCAAATCAGCTACTTTACGTTTTGAAAACGTAAACCGTTCCAACCAACTTGTTTGTTTGGAAAGTTTTGTCCTTGTTCGTTGTTCTGAGGAACTTTACGGAGAAGACGGAAAAGTTTTCCCCGCTCAGTCGGCCATCTTGCCGCCTCTCCCTATCACGAAGTAAAAAGAGAAGTTCATTGTGCGTCTTTAGTAACGCGCAGTAACGGGATGTCGGAAATGATAACGGCGTTATAGTTACAGTCAAAGTAATTAGTTAGATTACTCGTTACTGAAAAAAGTAACGGCGTTAGTAACGCCGTTACTAGTAACGCCGTTATTCCCATCACTGGTGAACAGTGCTTCGTAACTGCGTGTATACTGAGACGAGAGAGGTCTGAGTCTACACGTATACTGAAAGAAGGGAGGTCTGGGTCTGCATGTATACTGAGACAAGAGAGGTCTGAGTTTGCATGTATACTGAGACAAGAGAGGCCTGAGTCTGCATGTATACTGAGACAAGAGAGGTCTGAGTTTGCATGTATACTGAGACAAGAGAGGTCTGAGTCTGCATGTATACTGAGACAAGAGAGGTCTGAGTCTGCATGTATACTGAGACAAGAGAGGTCTCAGACTGCATGTATACTGAGACAAGAGAGGTCTCAGTCTGCATGTATACTGAGACAAGAGAGGTCTCAGTCTGCATGTATACTGAGACAAGAGAGGTCTGAGTCTGCATGTATACTGAGACAAGAGAGGTCTGGGTCTGCATATATACTAAGACAAGAGAGGTTTGTCTGCATGTATATTGAAACAAGAGAGGTCTGAGCCTGCATGTATACTAAGACAAGAGAGGTCTGTCTGCATGTATACTGAGACAAGAGAGGTCTGAGTCTGCATGTATACTAAGACAAGAGAGGTCTGAGTCTGCATGTATACTGAGACAAGAGAGGCCTGAGTCTGCATGTATACTGAGACAAGAGAGGTCTGAGTCTGCATGTATACTGAGACAAGAGAGGTCTGAGCCTGCATGTATACTGAGACAGGAGTGTTCTGTGACATAGTGACCATTTTCCTTTTTCTCTGCCCATATAAGCAATGGGGGCATCTGGTATTCCCATGGTTTCCCATCCAACCAACTTCATTTATCTTTGACTGATCAGATTATCACTATATACAACGCTAATATTGGAAAGACCAGTGCCATACACGCATTCATGAAGACATTTCACAGCCGTGCGATAATAACACGGCCAAGTTCCGACGCAGAAACGGCTTTGAATGCTGCTAATGAGGAGTCGGCCTGTCACCATCTCGGAGAGGCGGAAGCGGAGCAGTGCTGGCAGGTCATGAAGAGCCTGTATGGACAGGGTTAATTGGCCGATTAGAGGAATATCCTATGGCTGTGATGAAGAAGATGCAAATGCGCTTTAAGCTCGCTGTTGATGCTGCTTTGATCATGGCCTCTGATACATCTTTATGGATCTGTTTATTGGACTTTGAAGTGATTTGCACTAATAGTGTTAACAAGGAAACGGGTGACTTCATTATTACATAGATTTTGGAGTCAATTGACACAGCCATATTGGATTGATAAAGGAAAGGGATGAAGTGTGGCTTTATCCTAAAGGAGGATTGGTTTCATCAAATAAAGGCATACCTGATACTCACTCCTCCACCTGACACTGGGTTTATATTCCCTATGCCACTTTTGCATAACATTATTTAAAGATTTAATTTATGTTGCGCTCCCTTGAAATCAGGGATATTGTGGCTGTGTGCAGCAGACAGTGAGGCTGAGGTGCGAGGACCAGCTCCAGCTCGCGATGCCTAAGACCAGACTTAAAACCCCGGGGGATAGGGCCTTCTCTATTGTTGGATAAAACCCATATTCAAACTGAAGTGTTTTAAGCCTCCCCTTAAGTCCCATTTTTATGCTCTGGCTTTCAAAACTGTGTGATTTTTATGGTCCTTTTGTTCTTATTTATTTAGTTTTATTGTTGTACTTATTCAGATTTGTTCTTTTCCTATAAGATTTGTTACTATGTATTTTTTATATTTTTTATTATGTTTAATTGTGCAGCACTTTGGAAACTGTGTGTTTATAAAATGTGCTATATAATTAAAGTGGATTGGATTGGACAGATTAACAAGTGGGATAATAAAAAACTCTGTGCATAGACATGAATAGATAGCTTCATTTCCGACTCACTGTCCACATGGTTGCACCTGTAGATGTGTACTTTTATCTGGGGACCGCTTCTGACAGGGTGTGAAGGCTGTCCGTGTGTCGATACATGCGTTTACATTTCTCAGAGTACCGTCACAATGCTCTGGAGGGCCGCCATCTTGTGTGTCAGGCTGTCGCGCTAAACACACTGTATTGTAGGATGTTTCTACTCCTACTTCAAAACGTCCACATCGAACGTAAGAAAGTATTTCTGTCTCTGGTCATTAGAAATCACTCTTTGTCTCGTCCTAAGAAAAATATTGCCTCTCCTTATGTCTCTGTGACACAAATTAATGTACAGTAGAGCTTTTCAAGGTCGCAAACTTTTGTATTAAAAAGAAGACGTCATGTTTTGAACACAATGGATTTATCAAGTTGTTTTTTGAAAAGTCATCTATTTTAGTGTCATACAAATGAAGTTTCACCCCTTCTTGAGCGAAGTCATTCAAATTTTCTGGCAGTAGCTTGAGGAATACAACTTGTTGACAACTTCTCTAAACAGAGATATCTCCAACATTAAAGTGAAATGCTTTCTTTGAACTTTGCACATTGGTATATTTCACGTTTTTTCCTCCTTGCCTGTTTTTGATGAGGGAACAAAATTGTAACAAAAGAAGATGATGAGATAAGATAAAACTAAAGTGATCTCACAATGGAGTAATTTACATGTACATTTGGCATAAAAACACAACAAAACAAGTGAAAATACAAGTATCTCATGTGCATTGATGTTATGTCTCCATGTGTGTTAGCTTTCTCAGAACATGTTAAAGTGTGGTGTTTTTTTTTTATATTGAGACAATGCAATTCTAAGCCTCTGTCCCGTGTTGTGGTCACAGATGGGGCTCCAGCGCTGGTGGGAGCAGGACATCCCAGTGGACACCGCCATAAACAAGGGTGAGCTGATGACCCACAACCTGACGGAGCTGATCAAACCAGAGTCCTACGAGGTGCGACTGATCCCCATCACGCGCTTTGGAGAGGGAGACTCTACCATCCGCATCGTCACCTACAGCGGTCAGTGCTTTAACATTCTTCTCTGGTTCTTTTGGGATTGCCCCTCAAAATGAATCAGCCAGAGCATGGATCATTAGATTCCTAATCGTTCTATGTTGTTTGTAATTTCCAAGAACGTTTTTAGCTATGATTTGGCATATTTACACTGCATTTACAGATATGCGTTAGTGTGCGCTGTCCCTATGAAATCATTTGTTCGTACATGATGCACCAGTTTATCTAATGATAAAATAGAACTAAAGGCAGACAGACGTATACTGGAACATTTACTGACTGTGGACTACACCAAAATAACCAAAATGACAAAAAAGTAAAAGCTTGAATATATGTTAATTGTTCCTATTATCAGTAAATTGGTTTACTTGGACAGCATGTGATATAATCATTTAAAATGACATTACTTTCTTTTACATGATCCCACAGATAACCGCTCACATGAACAAATCGTTCAGTCATCATCAGTCATACAAAGGATGTGATGGCATTACCGTATTGGAGCGACTTATGTGTGAAATAATTTTTCTAATATTTTATTTACCGTAAAACAGGGGTGCCCAACCTTTTCTGTCCCAATGTCTACTTTTTAATTAGCAAACCTGCAAAGGTCTACCAGTCCAGCGTCAACATCAAAACCCCAGATACAGCCGTTACAAACAACACTTCTTCACACAACCATTAGACATCCGATAACATTCTGTTTTTATTTTAAACTCTTTGCTCCTCACAATCAGAATCAGAATCAGAATCATTTTTATTGCCACGTAAGTAACAGGAGGTCACAGACTTGGAAATTGCTTTGGCTCAGTGCATCAGACAAAAAGAGATAATAAAAATAAGAATAAAAAACACTTCTAAAGAATAAATTTAAATTTAAAATAGAGTTACAGTTACTATTTACAATATACCAGTGCACATGGTGCACACAATGTAAGGTGACAGCAGTACAGTGAAGTAAAGTGACGTATGATGGGCAGTAAAGTGACTTTATAAAGGGCGGGGGGACAGGTTAAGAAGTGTTCAAGAGTCCAACAGCAGAGGGGAAGAAACTGTTCTTGTGGTGGGAGGTTCTAGTCCTGATGGACCGCAGTCTCCTGCCTCAGGGGAGTGGTTGGAATAGTCCATGTGCAGGGTGAGAGGGGTCGGCTGTGATACGACCAGCCTGGCCTCGAGCTCGGGCGACGTACAGGTCCTGCAGCGATGGAAGGCTACGGCCGATCACTTCCTATGCAGAGCGCACAATGCGCTGTAGTCTCTGTTTGTCCCTGACTGTGGCTCCAGCGAACCACACGGTGACGGAGGAGGTGAGGATGGACTCGATGATGGCCGTGTAGAACTGCACCAACATCTGTGCAGGCAGCTTGGCTTTCTTGGCTTTCCTGAGCTGCCGCAGGAAGTACATCCTCTGCTGGGCCTTCTTGATGAGGGAGCTGATGGTCAGCTCCCACTTGAGGTCCTGGGTGATGGTGGTGCCCAGGAAACAGAAGGACTCCACAGAGGTGATGGGGGAGTCCATCACGGAGGGTGGGGGCGGGGGGACATTGCTCTTCCTGAAGTCCACAATCATCTCCACTGTCTTCTGGGCGTTCAGCTCCAGGTTGACTGCACCAGGACACCAGCCGGTCCACCTCCCTCCTGTAGGCGGACTCATCGTTGTTGGAGATGAGTCCAATGAGGGTGGTGTCGTCCGCGAACTTGATCAGCTTCACGGAGTCGTCGCTGGAGGTGCAGTGGTTGGTGTACAGGGAGAAGAGCAGGGGAGAAAGAACACAGCCCTCTGGGGCTCCTGTATTTATAATCCGAGAGTCCGAGACATTCTTCCCCAGACGCACTCGCTGCTTCCTGTCCGTCAGGACAGGTGTTCTTACACCAAAACAAACACAATCTGCATTTTGAGCAATAGCTAACTAACTGACCATAATATGACCCAAACAGAAATATGAACCAGTTCAAAACCAGGTAATAGAAATGTTTCGCCTGGAACTACAGTTCTATGAATCAGACATCCAAAAGCAGTGCACCACTGATAATCAAACATAAAACCCCACTATACTGTTGTCCAACAGCGGTAACGTCCTGAGATGCCTGTTTACCTGCTGCCATAGGTTTAACCTGACCTACTTTTTTATTTTTAATGTTTTTTCTCCTGACTGCTATAGTATACATATAAATACACACACACTCGCCATATTCATTATTCATTCATTCATTCATTCAAGTAAGAAAGATCATCTCTTCTTCACTTTTCTTTCTGAAAAGCGAATGAAAAAAAGACATGAATGTGAAAACTAGTGGTAGAACCAATCCATTTTGAGAGCAAGGTTGTGGTAAAAACACAATATGCCAATGGAACCACCAATACAAGATTAGAAAAGAATAAATTTCACCGTTTGAAATGAGAAATGTTTGCTTGTTCCGTTGTTCAGTGATAAAAAACTTAATTCAAGCATTAACCACCTTATTTTTCATCAGTTGTTTCAGTATTCTGTATGTGAATGGGCCTCTGTGTGTTCTGGTACGTTCCCAGCATCATCTTAGATTGAATATAACTGGATGGAAAAATCATTATGCCATTGTAAAGAATGCAATTTCATTGGAGGAATTGCCAAAAGTTATTAATGGGCAATTTTGTAAATGCTCAAAAAAGTCATATTATGTCTCTTTTAAAGGCGTCCCATACTGCATTCCTAACATACTCTAATGGTACATGCACTGCTGCGTGAATAATGTCATGCATGTGTCTTTTGTGTCCTACGGCTTGAGTTTCTCTAATCATCAGTTGAGGGTGTTTTTGTTAAAGTGAGTGTCCTAGAGGGTGCACATGTCTGTTATATTGTGATAACAGCGAGATTCTGCTATATGTGCGTATCCTCCAGTGTCGGCCGGCCCTGTGTGATTGTGTGTGTACGCTGGTGTGTGAATTCTCCGGAGGACACTGCTTTTACTGATGTTGCTGTGTTTGGTTATTTTCAGGCTGTATTAGGCTCAATCAACACATTTGTTGTTGTCCTGAATGAGCGGATGGGTGTGTATTGTTTTTTGTTTGTGTATTTTTTTTTTTTAGGTTTTGGCATAATTCAAAACATTGTTTTGAAATGTGTCACATACTGTCAGTAGTTGAGCTTATACGTTTACATATATGGTTTTTTATTATTATTAACGTAATCATGGTTTAATTTGTGTGCAAAATGGAGAGGCATAAGCAAAGAACATGAATCGGAAATAGGAATTATTGCAAGTGCGCAATTGGGACATTTTCAGATCATAATGCATTGCATTTCAATTCTAATGTGTAACAGTAGGTCAAGGCCACAGATGCATACCCCTGGTCTAAGCATAGAGCAGTGTTTGACATGTGTTGACGGATATTGATTTGACACAATGTTCGAGACAGCTCTTTCTGAAGAGTAACAACATATTCATCCAATCTTTCATTGTATCCGTTGCTGGGTCACAGGGGCAGCAGTCTGAGCAGTCTTTCCTCCAAGCACTTTCTCTTGCTCTTTATACTCACTTTAATATGACCAACCTCTGCCAGTGTGTGTATCGCACCACTGTTTGTTACACACATTTACTAAAGTGGATAAGTACAAAGGGGACTGTGTGTGGGCAATGCCCTTTACTACCAGTAAACAAATGGGATCATAAGTTTCTTACAAAATACCATATCCTTTACTCCATTCACCTTTTCCTTTTTCAGTTTTTTGAAATCTTTGAACAATTGCTTTATTGTACGAACAGGCTAGCATTTAAATAAGAGCAAGGACATATAAAGCTAGGAGGAAAGTGACACAATACCAACGTTTTGAAAATTATATAAATGTAATTCCTGGGTAGTATTCTTCTGTGCCTTTTTTCAAAATTGAGTTCAGACCAAAATGTATCTATCTGAGAACTGTTTTATGAGACGATAACGTTTCATGTCTCTAATCTGCAGAGTAAAAGCAAACATTTCTACCTTGAAATGGGCCCTAATGCAACTGTGGAACATTGAGCATTTATTACAAAAACACAAGAAAAAATAACATTTGTAAAGCACAAAACAAAAACATTTGTCAACTATGACAGATCAACCAATTGTCAACAGTGAAATGAATGGTGATAAAGACACATGTTGTAATCTTATTGTACCACACGGTAACATGATTATGAGTGTATCTGGGATAAACTTTCAAGCCTCAGTGTAACTTACACAACAGATACGTGTATGTGTTTGTATTGTTAGGGCAGTATTGTGAAGCACTATTGGTTCCACATGTAGTCATACCTGCTGGTTTACACTGGTGTCTTGTAGAAGGTCAGTGCACAGGCGTATCCACATACTAAGTCCACTGCTCTTTGTCCAGATGAGCCGTGGCAGAAGCGACACATTAGTTACTGCTGACCTTCTGCTGCGGCGGAGGTGGACCGAGGCCTACGGCCCGTCGTCTATGATGTTGTCCAATCAGTCGTGACTCCTGCAGCCTTTTCCTTTCAACGTGACGTGATTCACTTCTGCTTGAGTCATTGCCTTCAAAAGCCTGTCTCTCTGCCTTTCACTGATGGATGTGACCTGTGCACGGTAGAGCTGTTTTTGCTGTGGTCAAAAAGCAGTGATATAGAAAAACAAACAAATGAGTGTCTCTGAGGAATGCTTGTTGAACTTTGGTGCTTCGACCTCGACAGGAAGTGATGTCGTGATGTGATGAATGGACACACCAGTCTATGAGCGCAAAGGTGACTATATGGTCTCCACGCCGGCAGTGGTCGATTTGTGATTGAGTTTATGAATCTTAGGGTTGGTTCGGGAATGAAAAGTGGCTCTCGTGTTTTGCCCTCTATGAACGTATGCTGCAATCATATAATATGCCCCCAAAAGCATCAACAATTCACAAGATTTGTTATTGTCAACAAGAGAAAGTTTGTGGCCACACTTGTGTAAAAGCTTGTTCAGATCTACGATGCTAAGCAGTGCAGGGCCTGGTTCGTACTGTGATGGAAGAAAGGCATAATACAAGGTGTCAAAGTGCTATTTTAAAATCTGATGCAATTGTCAAGTGCATTATTATGATGAAAGTGAATGATGATTTCAAAACATGTTCAAACATATGAAAAAAATAATTTCTGAAGAAGAACATGGAGGAGAGCAAGTGATGCCTTCAGTCCGAAAAAAGTAGCGGGAGATAGGTGTTGGGTCAGAGAGTGTTTGGGCCTGTGTGTGTGTGTGTGTGTGTGTGTGTGTGTGTGTGTGTGTGTGTGTGTGTGTGTGTGTGTGTGTGTGTGTGTGTGTGTGTGTGTGTGTGTGTGTGTGTGTGTGTGTGTGTGTGTGTGTGTGTGTGTGTGTGTGCATTGTTGATATTGCATTGTATCATATTCTGCCATTGATTTTATATTGTTTATGACAGATGTTGTTCCAAGTTGTCTTGTCTTTGTTGAATGGGTGAAAGATGTCTACACCTCTTCTTAAACCATGCATGTTCTGAAACAAACATCTTGATTGGTTGATTGATTGAAACTGTTGCCTTGATACAAACTCTTTACCACTTATTTTTGTCATGATCTCGTCCCAGAATGTGATCTGTGACTGTGGGACTGTTCAGGGTGAAAGCAATCAACCACAACAACCATTTCCTCTATTGCCAAGACCTGGTTTTGATTTTCTCTAATGTTGTCAGGGTCTTCCTCTCTGCTGATGTGCTGTGTCAGTGGGGCAGCTCTGACGGTGGAAAAATTGCAAAAAGTTGAGCATTGTTCAACTCTGTCATCTCTGTCAGCAGGCGAAACACTTTCTGCCCGCGGCCAGACCCCCCACCAGCCGCATACACTATTTTCTTTCTCAAGCGCACCATACTTTAGGTGGAAACCTGAGGCGGCGCTTGGTCTGGTGTGAACGAAGCCTGACACTTTCTCTGGGCTTGTGCCTTGCGTCCTTATGTTCTTGCCATTCTTGCTTTTTCTTACTTATTGGACTTCAGAATCAGAATCAGAATATTTTTTATTGCCACGTAAGTAACAGGAAGTCACAGACTTGGAAAGTGCTTTGGCTCAGTGCAACAGTCAGAGAGAGATAATAAAAAATAAAGAAGAAAGAATAAAGTTTGTTGTTCTGAACATGCATAAGAAGCCTAAACATAAATGGAGTTAAGGTGCACTTTTATTTATCCCCGTAGGGCAATTCATCCTCTGCATTTGACCCATCTTGATGCCACTAAGGCTTACGTCAGGAGCAGTGGTCAGTACAGCTCGAGAACCCATCTCCAGATGTTGATGCTCAGCTTGGTCAAGACTACCAGAGCTGGAGGATTTTACATGTATGCATGTTTTAGTGATAGTGGTAGTGGCACGGGTAGAACATGCAAACTCCACTGAGAAAGGCTCTATTCCGACCGGGTTTCAAACCAAGGACCTCCTTGCTGAGAAGCGGGAGTGCTATCCACTCAGCCACTGTACCGCCCAGGGTTGGATGTTTTTGTCACGTCATTACCTGCCACATTATACTTTGAGCCACATAGAACGTGTGTAATTCTTGTCGACAAATAGCACCTAGTGGAATGTGCACATCGGCCTTTTGTCTCCTGGTTGAAGACATTTTTTTGTGAGAGAAGGCGACCACTCTATCCACCATTCCCTCGTATGCATTAGTATACTGCTCCAAAGAAAATTAACTCCCCATTAATTCTCAGAGTTTCAAAAATGCCATGCCTTCTCTATTTTTGATTTATGTTGTTTTTGGCAAGGTCAGGATAAGGGAGAAATTGTTATTTACACTTTATTTTGAGTGTTTTGTCACTTAAAGCAGCAGTAAGCGATTTGGTCGTTTCCGGCAGTTTCTTCTGCCTGAGCGAGTTAGTAGCCCCGCCCCCGTCTCCTCGTCACACCACATGAACGCGCATCGTCTTGGTGATGGCAGCAGCAGGTTCATCTCCGTCAGGTCTACTCGTAAGTATATTAACAACAAACTCTGGGAGTGAAATATTAGCATAGAATAGCTCAGTTGTAACCTAGCTATAACACTGGAAGCAGCTTGGTGTTAGCTAGGATAGCATCACTAAGAAAGAGATAAAAACAATCCAGTCTTTTATAGAATAATACTGCTTTTATAGTTGGCACACTGATAACTGTTGTGATAAACATAATGTTGCAGATTGCAGTGTGACGTGTCTCAACATTATGCACTGTAACATCTGTTACAGTGCACAGGCCCGGACTGGCCATCGGGAGCATCGGGAGATCTCCCGGTGGCCTGCGTGTCAAAGTGGCCTGGGCCTGCCCTATCATCACGGTCTTTTTTTCTTTTTTTTTTTTTCTTCTTTCTTTTAATTTAATTTCATCCTCACGGTCTTTGCAAACTCCTACCCTGCCTGGTGGCCTGGTCCAATGAGCAAGGCCCAGGCCAAAGGCAGTGTTGTGCGTGAACGAGTTCAAAAGAACGCGTTCATTGAACACGCTCATTTTTTCGTGAAACGTTGAACACATTTTTTTATAAATAACTTGAACGTGAATTAGTTCATATTATGTGTCATGAACGGCAGACAATTTGTTTTCCATTTAAAACTGAGTGAAATCTGTTTTCTCTTTTGAAACGCAACGAGAGAAAGTTCCTCCCTCCTGTATTCTCCGCACTGTTTCCGCCGAAAACTAAAAATTCCTACGGTTTCCACCGTCTGTGAACGCACCCCGACTCAGTGTACTTGCGGTGCGGCGCTATATGCTAGTGCTATTCATTGGTTGTTGGACTCACATGTGCCGTGATGAAAACACAGGGGTAAGTCAGTGACACAGGGCCGTTTACATTTGACATAAAGTATAGACACACGTTCTGCAGCGCATTACAGTTTGTACTTATGAGCAGAGATGGGACAACTCAGTTCCCATTGAAACCCATGTAAATCTTGTCTGCATTGGAGTCAAAACATCCTGTGCAGTGTACAGGATATAATATATATATACATATATATATATATATATATATATATATATATATATTATACCACGTATATTGTGATTTCTAGCTCGTAGTGAAAAAAAATATTTATTTGAATATCTCGCAAAAAGTAAAATGAACTGAACTTTGAACTAGTTCAGAATTAAAATTGAGAACTTCGAACGTGAACTGTTCACTTTGAGCATGTATGAACTGAACTTGAACTTGTTCAGAAAAGCTGTGAACTGGCACAACACTGGCCAAAGCTTTACTGTCATTGGGCCAGAGCAAAATTAAACAAATGTGACGTCACACGTCGGCTACACAGCCAGGCCAGCCTAGCAGTGCACCCAGTGTAGCTTCCCCGGTTGAAATGAGTGGTCTCTCCAACTGATGGTTCATACACGTTGTTATTTTTCCTTTTATATGAGCTGTAACGATGTGATTTTACCTTACTACTTTTTTAACAATAATTGATTAGCTTGTTATAGTTATACACTAATGAACACTTAGTTCATTGTGTGTGTGTGTGTGTGTCTTTATTCTCACTAAACTCCATAAACGTTACGTTGCTAAGCAACGTACAACAATCTTTAAACGTCCGAGATTATATAAACAGTCAATATAAAAAGAAATAAAGAAAACAAAAGTTTTGACAGTCAATCTTAAAACTATTAAAAGAACATCAAAATACAATGACAAAAACCCAAATTTAGAACCTTGTTTGGCCTGAATGGATGAAAAGCTCCCGGCCTGAAATGTTGTCCCACTCCGGCCCTGACAGTGCATATGTATTAGATGAATGTAATGCATATACATTACAACAACAAAGCTTTACATGAAGGTTATTTAAAGTAATACATTACTGCTTTCCTCACAATTTGTATATTTGTAGTTCTTTATAGACAACACTGTAGTAATGTATTATGTGAAAGTAAAGCTGCATCTCACTGGAAGCTGCCTTCTCAATGTCACAAAATAAAGATACATTTATTGATGTAATCAACATCTGTATTATGTGCTTATTGTTCAGAGAATGAAGACAAAATCAAAGTGTATCAGAGCTGTACAGTGAGATGTGGGACTGAAAAACAATTCCAGTAAAGCTTGTCCGAAACGCAAAAGTACTGTCATAACTAATTACGTTACACTATTACACTGTAAGGAAACTCACCACTTTGAAAGAAAAGCTACAAGTAACAGAATATATAAAGTCATTTGTCATAACGGTTCTTTCAGGAAGCACTGAACGCCCTCTGTCCAGAGAAGCTGATGACCAGATCCTCCCAGACCTTTCCCTGGTGCGTCTGAAAGGTGCCAACAGACATTGAAAACGTGCTTTCCTCAGCGGCCCCCATGGTGCACGTCCTCAGCGGCCCCCATGGTGCACGTCCTCAGCGGCCCCCATGGTGCACGTCCTCAGTGGCCCCCATGGTGCACGTCCACTCTGCAGTTCTGAAATATGTTTGTAGTTGTACTATTTCAAAATAAAAAAAAATACATTCACCTCTTTCAATGTGCTTTGTTTTATAGTAGGAAAACAAATACAGT